GAAAAAAAATCAAGTGCGAGCATTCGATTCCCGAGCTTTCTTCTGATTGGATAATCGCACACTCGCGCTTGATTTGTCGGATCTATTCAAATTGTTTTAGTATAAACATACTAATTGGTCAAATAATGAAAACAAATTGAAATATCCTTAAAATAATTTATTAATGAGATTGATTTTCCCGCGAGTGGTCTATCCCAAATTAGAGCATTAGTAGAGTAGCCAATCACAGTGCAGTATGAGTGATAGACCATTAGTATGTTTATAGAGGGAAAAGAACAAATGCGCATGCTTTTACACTACCGTTATCGGCTCACGCTCTTAGCAAAATGTGGGTTACCTGTGTTATTACGTCAATGATCACTTGCCTTGCAGAATCAAAAAACTAGTCTTTGACAAGGTATGAAACACTGGTTATGTGATAAATTATATAATTTTTTGCAGAAAAACAACAAAACGACGATTTTCTTTCAAAAACAATATATTGCCAGATTTCCAGGGTGGTGGACTCACCCCTCCAAAGCTCCAATGCTAATGGATCTTCATAGTGGAGTATTCTGCCATTAAAACTTATAAAAATGTCATACCTAAGGCTGTATCTGGAAATCAACCCTAGATACAYAACAATGACACAAATAAGGATTATAACTCTGAATGGATAGATGTACATCGTTCATGATTTTTGTATTCAATTTAGTTCCTTTTTATGTCAGTTTACAGATAAAGTTATACTTTGGTATTGTTGCTGTGGGGACAGAACAAGGGCATACATACCTGGTTGATATGCGTCTTGATGATGACATGGAAAAGTTTGATGAATGGAATCCAAGTAGCATAGAAGTTACTGATTGTCATGTACCTAATGTGTCAAGTCACAGGGAGAGAGCAAGGGCAAATGATACACATGTTGCTTTAGAGCTTGGAGGTAATTATTTTACTTGTCATTGCCATGTTTCTAATGATCAGGACTCAGTGTCTGAAACATTTGGTAATTTTGAGTTGGGTGCAGATTGGACTGGCACGGACTGAAGGCTATATGGCAGAAAAGAAATGAAAAAACAAGGGTCTTTTAAAAATAGTAAATGCCAGAYCTATGACATCAAAGGTGATTCAGCTCCACTTGCTGTTGTGTTGTTACATCTAACAATACAGGGGTTGCGGTAGGGCTTGTTYTATGATAAAGTGATAAAATACTTCCTAGATTTTCTTAAACTTTGCCAAAATTCTATGGATGCATCAAAAGACTTTATTGTATCAATGTGAGTTTCAAGGTAAATTGGCCAAACAAATGAAGACACCATTATACATGCAATGGGGACATATACATGTACCCTCAAACATACATTTGGTTTATCAAATATATGAGAGGGTACATCACAAAAGGGGTCTTGTGTCTAGCGGGAAAATCCAGTCTTCCAAAGAGGCAGTTAATTCACTGGCTGCATCAAAAGGGTCTTAATTCTTTAGCCTCCTTTTGTGCTGTCCTTTCTGATATACGTGTACCGTAGGCAGATTTGAAAATTTACTTCTCAACAGCTTTTCAGTGGGAGTTACTGTACATGTACTTTAGTTTTAGCACAGCTTCTAAGTGTAGCATACTCTTTGATGGTATTTTAGGGGTCAGTTCTTGATGAAAAATATGCTATTGAGATGGCCATTTTGACAATGTTGAAAAGGAARAAGATGTGATAATAGTGATGTAGGTTTTTTGTTCAGCAATCCAGAACAGCTTGTCAGTCATCCTTGAAATGGATAATTAGTATTCTCCTGAATGCATGTTATTTATCTTACAAATCTTCTGTTTGTCAGTGTTCACTGTTATTAATTTGCTTCACATTGCCTCAAAGGTGAATGTCACAAGTCTGGTAAGTTTTATTTAGAAAATCCAGATTCCAGAAATCAAAAGGTATATTCAGCAGGTACGTCAATCACACTTTCATCACAGTTCACACTTTCATAAGGTCTTTGTTGCCTTGTTTTCATGGTTTTGTATTGTTAAAAAATAAAGATAAATAAAATAAAAAACCTTTTCTATTGTGTTGAAAAATGTGAATGCAAGGAGCTAGTGCTGTGATTTTTGTTTTGTTTTTGCCATCATTGTAATTTTACANTTAATTATGTGATTTTTAATGTCCAAACTTTCATTTGAAAGAAAAATTGCTGAACCGATATATGCACTTTAATTCTTTAGCCTCCTTTTGTGCTGTCCTTTCTGATATAAATTTTACTTCTCAACAGCTTTTCAGTGGGAGTTACTGTACATGTACTTTAGTTTTAGCACAGCTTCTATGTGTAGCATACTCTTTGATGGTATTTTAGGGGTCAGTTCTTGATGAAAAATATGCTATTGAGATGGCCATTTTGACAATGTTGAAAAGGAAAAAGATGTGATAATAGTGATGTAGGTTTTTTGTTCAGCAATCCAGAACAGCTTGTCAGTCATCCTTGAAATGGATAATTAGTATTCTCCTGAATGCATGTTATTTATCTTACAAATCTTCTGTTTGTCAGTGTTCACTGTTATTAATTTGCTTCACATTGCCTCAAAGGTGAATGTCACAAGTCTGGTAAGTTTTATTTAGAAAATCCAGATTCMAGAAATCAAAAGGTATATTCAGCAGGTACGTCAATCACACTTTCATCACAGTTCACACTTTCATAAGGTCTTTGTTGCCTTGTTTTCATGGTTTTGTATTGTTAAAAAATAAAGATAAATAAAATAAAAAACCTTTTCTATTGTGTTGAAAAATGTGAATGCAAGGAGCTAGTGCTGTGATTTTTGTTTTGTTTTTGCCATCATTGTAATTTTACATGTAGGTCTTGTTTCTTATAGGGGATGTATTTGTCTCAGCAATAAAGTATATCCACCAGGCAAGYTCTCTTGTGATTGGATACAATTTTGGATGTTTTGTTATATGGGACCTGAGTTCTATGACTTTGGTGTAAGTACATGTTAAAAATCAGAGCTCAATTATAACAGCTTGAAAGTTTGGATCAAGTTTTTGTGTTAATAAACATMTAATGATTTCTGTCACTATTACATKATAAAGTTTAATGTTGCATTGTGAAAAGCTTTCATTTTTACTTAATTGTAAAAAATTGGTGACAAATTAATCCTGATGAAGTTTTAGCCATTTCAAATGGACTATGTACACTGTGGATCTCCTGTCTTATTYAAATGGRCACCACATTTGATTGATGTTTAAATTGAATCCAATGCAGATATACTAGTCAAGTGGACCAGTATGACATGTCAGCTGTCACTCATCTATCCTTTCAAGAACCTGAAAACGACCCTCGCAACTTTTGCTATCTTTGGGTTGCACGTGGTCCTCTTACAGTAGAAGATGAGTCTCTTGACATCCCTACAACTTTAACTTTGTACCAGTTGATATTTGCAGCTAGAGAAATGCTGCCTGGATATGGCATTGTGTATAAGGTAACTACAGTGAATGGATTAACGAATAGTTATTGAAACTTAACAAAAGCTCTGTGCATTTTGTCAAATAGTGTTTAGGGTACATGTAGTAAGTTCAATGTTGCAAGGAATGGATGTTTGATTGAATTAATAGCGCTGCGCWCCCWGTCTGAAAATAGATCTTGACCTTAGGACGTCCYGCTGGTTTAGRACAAACTCTCGATGTATTACAAAGAGATGTATGTGAAACATGACAGAAGCAATACTATTTTCTTATAAAAACTGCTTTAACGATCTAAAATGCCTGCAATTAGGCATGTACGTAAAAGTRCATGGAAGAATGATTGAATCTATCCAGAAAGATTGCCAGATTCACTTGAAAAGATGCTAAAAAATGATCATAAAGCATTCACACCGACCTAAAGCCGAGCACAGTATGTACTATATGTTGGAGCTTTTTCGACGTTGTTWTAAGCATGTTCTAAAACGAATCCTTCGTGATATAGGCTTACTWCAATATCTATTTTTCTGCTGTACGCTGTCTGTGTGGTAAAGCATTGGCGATGGAGCTAAATGCAAATTTATTAGGAGCCTGAGTCGGAGACATGACAAAGCCGCAGTCAAAAGGCTCAAAACAGCTTAATGATGGGACTAAAATAGATTTTACTAGATCTTACATGACAAATAATTAAAGACTCACTACATTATGATTTTGAACTGTTTAAAGTTTTAAAGCATATTAAGTAATTGCAAGACTCGCGAAAACTATGAAACAAATCAATTTGATACTTTGTACTAGTTGTTACTTTTTTTCGGACTTAAAATAAATTGTTTAAATTTGAAATAAATTGTAATATTCTAATAAAATTTCTGATACTAATATTTGGCCTTAGCATTATTAGCGGGCTAGCTGTGCTAGCCAGCTATAGTTTTACCTTCGCACTCTGTCGGGTCGAAGTTTCCAGTCTCTCTCGAACCACAGGAAGCCATATCTATTAGTTTGCAGTCTCTCTCGAACTGAAAATTTTCTCAAGAATCCAAAATGGCGGGTACTTCGCCGATAACAGAGAAAAAAGTACTCAAAAACTATCAACAAGAAATACCAAAAGCTTTCTCATTGAAGAATTGAACTAGGATTTTGCATTTGTGAAGTTTCAAGCTTGCTAGTTATCATTTTAAGACGATTTTGCATCGAAAATAGTCTCGCCTTCCTCACCAGTCCAGCTCGATGATTATTCAGTACAGCTTCAA